TGTCTATGTTGTAAGTTATTTCTCCCTAAATAAACATCTATTTGTCCTATTTGTTTCTCCTGATCCTTATAAAACATCAATTAAGGTTTCTCTGTGGCTTTAGAACCTGCCTGGAACTAGCTCTTGTAGACCAGGCTGGTCTCAAACTCACAGAGATCCACCTGCCTCTGCCTCTGGGATCAAATTTTATTTTTATTCATTTTTACTAAAACGTAAGTACCTCACTTTCCCCTTCCCTTTCCTCCATCCTTCCCCTCCCATGTTCCCTCCCTTAAACTTCTCTGCCTCCCAAATTTCAAATTTATTGTCTATTTTCCTTTATTTTGTTTCATATGTATGAATAAATATGCACAAGAATCATTGTGGCCTGCTGTCTGCTTTTATTGTTTGTGTGTATATGATTTTAGGGTTGTATTATATAACAACCAAGTATGGAGCTCACCCATGATGGAGGATGAATCTCACTCTTGCAGTAGGGTTCCTCTCTTTAATAACCATCAGGAGTCTGACTTCTAGTGACCTAGGCTTCCTTGGATAGGAAACATTGTCAAGAGTGGAGAACTTGGGTTGAAGTAATAGCCCAGCAGTTAAGAGCACAGGATGCTCACCCAGATGACCCAGATTTGAAGCTCAGGATGGCATGGCTGCTTTTAACGGGTGTAACTCCAGTTCCAGGGTATTTGACTTCCAATAAGATCTCCCTGGCCACTGAGCATGAACATGGTACACAGACCTGTACAGAGTCAAAGAAGATCAATGCAGATGAAATAATCATTTTACAAAACGAAAAAAGAAAGTAGAGACAACTCACACCATAAAGCTTCTTCTTCCAGCTGGGCATGGAAGTCCACAGTTTTAATCCCAGCACCAGGAGGCAGGGGGCAGGAGGATCTCTGTAAGTTCAAGGCAGGGAGTCTAATGCCAGGTGGTTCATTGTCAGCATACATAAAACACAGTACAACATGAGAAAAGATGTCTAGGATACAGTCGGTTCAATCAGTCCAATTCCAGGTGCACAGTAAAGCTTAGGCTGTGGCTGCATAGGAACTCTTTGATAAACCACATGTGACCAAGAGGGTGGGTTCTAGAGCCAACAGGCCTAGAATTTAGAGTGGTCTCTGACTGAGATAGCAGAGGTCAGCAGGTCATTGAATACATGTGACATCTCCCGTAAGGATGGGTAATTAATGGTTGAGGGAGGGAAGAGTCTGGAATACTCATTCTGGGGAATTTGGGTGAGGTCTGCCTTTATAGCTAAAGGTGGGTGGGGTCACTAACAACCTCCATTCTCAGCTTTCTGGATGGCACACAGTTATTTGATTTGTCTCCTCCACTGAGAAGACACCTCTGTGTGTTAACTTTCCTGGTTCTCTTGGTGCTTCTCTGTGAGTACAAGGCCTTCATGCCCTCTCCACCATATCCTGCTGAGAGCTTTTCACTACAGTCTGAACTCACTGTGGGTGTTCTACAGCTTATATAATAGCACAGCCTCCCCCATTTGCTTATCTCATTTCTAAATTACATTAATTTATTTGTATATGTGTGCACACATGTGTATATGCCTCAACACCAGGATAACTTGCAGGAGTTATTTAATGAATGAGTGGCAGAGGTATATGCATGTGAATTCTTTCACACACCACAGTGCACATGGAGTGATCAGGGGACGACAGCTCACAGGAGCTGATCCTCTCCAACACATGAGGCCAGGACATCAAAATCATGTCATCAGGCTTGGTGGCAAGTGCCTTTGCCTGCTGAGACATCCTACTTGTCCTATGTCTGCTTTTCTTCTGGTGAATTTGTCCACTGCCTGTGTCACTTCACAATCACTGCTATTTCACATAGAACATGCTACTGTTTCCATTATTACATCCTTCATTCTTTTGCACACCTATCTTGTCAGACAGACCAATTTGAGAAAATTTGCAATGAATGTAACATTATTCAGCAAAAAACATTAAGAAGAGTTAGCAAGATGGTTTAGAGTAAAAATTTCTGAGCCAAGCCTGAGGATCTAGATTCATTTCTTGGTATCCATGGTAGAAGAAAAATGGGTTCATGGAATTATCCTCTGCCCTCCATGCTTTCATGGTAACATATACACATAGACAGACAGACAGACAGACACACACACTGGCAGAATTATCACATTGGGCGCCTGACCTGTCAAGTAAGGGTTATTATTATGATATGGCAGCCATGGATGTTGGCAGGTGAATCCAAACCATAGTAGGTGAGGGACAAACATGAAATGCAGACAGAGCTTACCTGGGAAGTTTTGTTTGGGGAATAGAAGGGAGTTGGGAAAGGCAAGGGAGACAGGGAGAGAAAGAGAGAAAGGGAGAAAAAGAGAGAAAAGGTGAGAGAGAAAGAGAGAGAGAGAGCAGAGAGAGAGACAGACAGAGAGAGAGAGAGAGAGAGAGAGAGAGAGAGAGAGAGAGAGAAGCAAATACCTGCCTGCCCCTTCAGAGGAGCAGCTGGAAAGAGAGAGTGGGAATGGGAAGAGCATATCTCTTAAAGGAAACTTTTGTGCTGGTGTACAGAGCCAGGGTACTGCCTGGCATGTGTGCAGGGGTGACACACTCTGCCAGGTCTCCAATGGACAGGGCCAAGGTGTGCCTGGTTGCTAACAGCTAGTAAGGTTGGAAAGGTAAATGAAGCTTTTAGAGTTGCCTCTGCCAAGGAAAAATAGTGAATCAAAACTGGTATTGCATCCCTGGAGGAATTGCAGAAACTAGTTCCATCATGAAGGGCTTGAAAGGTGCAGGGTGGTGGTTCCCACCACATCTCCCTTTAACTCTTTTATTCAGTCAGAACTGTAGACAGATGGATTGTGGTGAAGATAATTGACTATCAAAAACTCAATCATGTAGTGACTGGAAATACATCTGCATTGTGAAATGTGGTGTCCTTACTTGATGACATGAACACATCTCTTGGTACATGGTACACAGCTATTGATCTATCAAGTGCATTTTTTCTCAGTCTGTTCATAAGGACAAGAAGTAATTTTCCTTCAGCTGGAAAGGCCAACAGATAGCTTTGAAGTTTTACTTCAACAATATGTTACCCTGTATCATAACTTAGTTAGAAGGGATCTTGATTGGGTGTCTCTTCCCCAAAATATCATGTTGCTGCACTATATTGATGATGAAATATTGACTAGAACAGGAAGTAGTAACCACATGGAACTCATTTGTAACACATATGTGAACCAGAGGATGAGATATAAATCCAACCAAAATTCAAGGACCTTCTACCTCTGTGAAATTCTTAGGAGTTCACTGGTGGAGAACATGCAGAGATATTCCATCTAAGATGAAGGGTATGTTTATTGGATCTGTTTGGATTCTGGAGACAGTACAATCCTTGCTTGGGTTTGTTTCTCTGGTACATATACCAAGTGACATGGAAAACTGCTGTCATTGTGTATGGCCTGGAACAGGAGAAGGTTCAGGAACTTTGAAGGCTGCTGTTCTACCACCTGAACCATATGATGCAACAGCCCGATGGCACTTCACCTGTCAGTGGCAGATTGGGATGCTACTTGTAGCTTTTGGTTGTTTCCTATGGGTGCACTGCAGAAGACATGTTTGGGATTTCTGAGCAAGGCTATACCTTCATCTTCAGACACCTGTTTTCCTTTGGGGTGCACTGCTCTTGTGCCTTACAAGAAGCTGAACCTTTGGAAGTGGGCTACGAAGTTATCAGGCAACCTGTGCTGCCTATCATTAGTCTACAGCAACCTATTACTAACCAAACCATCATGCCTTTAGATTTGAACTTGTTAAAAACAGTTAAATGAAAATTAAAACCTTAGTAGCCTTGTGAGGCATTTCTACCTAGTAAATGAAGCTTCCAGATGTCATCATTTGCAACAGTCACCCTTAACCACACCACACCAAGAGATTACAATCATTGCTTCCACTAGACATAGTCCAAGGCTTTCCTGAGAGAAGTTAGTTAAACCTGTATGGTTTGGAAAGAAAAACAGCACTAGGTATTTCTAAACGGGAGTCATGTGCTGAAACAGAGGCTGTAATTATCAGGGAGGCTAGGGTCATTAATGAGAAGGTACCTGCTCTTGTTTGGGAATATAGAAAAGTTGTTATAAGGGAACTGTCCACCCAGTCAAGCATTTAACTATGGAAAGAAAAGGAAGGTGATTACCAGTCCCCAAATCCAACTTCTTACAGAATCTGCTTCTGCTTTGTTTCATCGGGACCAGATGCATCCAAAGCTAGCACCCTGTGCTACTTTTGTTTTGAAAGAAGGAAGGTGAAACATTTAAAGGTTATGGATTTGTCCTCTGTGCTTCAGCTCACCAGTGTTTCAGTCATCTCTTTGGAAGAGTCCAATCCCATGTAAGGAGCCTGGGAGAGTTCACTGCATGAATCCATGATGATGAAGCCCGGGTTGCATTTTGAGACCATAACATGTTGAGATACAACAGCATTGAGACACCTGCCATGGAAAGTTTCATGTAGGGAGTGGAAATAACCGGGGGGTGGGGGGGTGGGGTGAGGGGGAAGAGAGAAAGAGGGAAGGAGGGAGGGAGGGAGAGACAAGAGAGAAAAGAGAGAGAGAGGGGTTTTAGAAGTTGCAGAAAGAGGCATCTAAGCCCTTTGAAAGAGAATTCCCAGGTAAGTGACTGTAGGTGTTTGCCCAGCAGGGTTTAAATATTGCCTTGGTCCAATATGTCTTTACTTTGAAAAAGGAGATGTGTATTCTGTGCCATTGTGTGTTGGGCATATACGAATCGTTTTTTGATTTTATGAGATGCCACAGTCAAGATATTGCTTTGATTTCCAGAAGAAACGTCGGACACTGGAATACTGTTGGGACTGTTCCACAATACGGAGATCTTTGATGTTCTGATGCAAAGCCCATCGGACAGTTCTGTGCCTGAGAGAGAAGGCAGGGAAGGGAACCTCAGTGCTGCGTTCCTTCACAACCCTCAGTCCCTACGGAGCTGCTCCTGTCACTCAGGCCTCAAGAGCCTATCAGAGCCTCTAGATGGACTGCCAGTCACAATGGGGCGGGCACTTCCGGTCCGCCATGCTACAGGCGAGGCTGCTCTGGTCTGAGGGACACGCTGAATTGCGCTGTGACCCGCTGCCTTGAGCTGTGAGGAGAGCGGGCCGAGCCCGGAACCCGCCATGGTGAGCGAGGGGCCGCCGTCCCCACGCGGGGAGGAGCCGCGGGAGCCGGTGTGGGTCCTCCCGGGGCTGTGGGAAGCGGCGGACGCGGCTCCCCGTGAGGCGTGAGGTCCTTGCTGTCCCAGCAGCTCCCTGGTCCTGTGGCCTCGGAATAACTTCCATCTGCGGGCAGAACCTGCAGAGAACACCGGGGGTGGGGGTGGGGAGACAGTGATGATTTGTCCTTGTTGCTGACGTCGTCATGCAGTGCACGCGCACGCGCAGCTTTCATCTTTGCAGTGGAAGGCAGATTATTAACCGAAGGAGCCCTGCTTTCTCTGCTGTTTCCAGAAGTTCTGCATTTGGCAATGACCATTCAGGTGTAGGATCCGCCTGCAGTTAATTCTGTGCAGGGCGTAAAGTCTGTGTCATTAACTCCTTTGCATGGAGATGGCAGGGTGGTCCAGTCATCTGTGTTGGTAACGCCAGACTTCTGGGTTTCCTGACCTTAGGTGTCAAAACTGACTCTGTATTAATTGTGTTTTGATTTCTAGCTTTTCTCCTAGGTCTTGGTCTCTATTCTTTATTCCAAACAGTCCCTAGAAAGTTCTAGGCCAGCTAGTGCTTCGTAGTGAGAGTCCATCTCAAAAACACTTAGTTATGTTTCTGAACTTTGTTTTGAGTCAGGTTCTCTCTGCCTGTTATAGGTGATGGAATTAAACTTGAGTTTCCTGCAATAGCAGTAGCTCCTCTTAATAGCTTCTCTGTGATTTTTAAAACAACAGGTTTATTTTTTCAAACATTTAAAAGTTGATTCTTTTGTCAATATAAAGACATTAAAATAATTGAGGATTATTTATATGAGAAAAATATCTTCAAAAATTACATTCAAGACAGTGGTCTCCCCAGAACAAAGACTTTGTCACCCCATTCCTTATTTATAATTTTTTATTTTTGTGTAGTTATAGTTGGCCTTGAAGTCACAGATTGATCTGCCTCTGCCTCCCAAGGGTTAGGATTAAATCATAAGCCACCATACCTGGCCACATTTATAATCTCTAAAATATCATAAGCTGATATGTCCATAAGAAAAGCAGTTCCCTTCTATATCTAGTAAATATTCTGTCTTTGCAGCATGCTTCTTTTTAATGGTGTCTGGAGCTATCCCCTTAGGTTTTATCTCAATTTCTGTTAAGCTTTATTTGTTTGCTTTATTTTTGTTTGTGCATGCCTTCATGAATGTATTTGCTTGTCTAGTTCTCTCAGAGGCCAGAAAAGGGTCAGATCTATTGGAGTTTTAGGCTTGTGAACCAGCCATCCTGGGTCCTGGGAATCAGCCTCAGGGCCTCAGCCAGAGCAGCACACAGTCTTGATAACTGAGCCTTCTGTGCAGGCACTGCAGGTTTCTCAAGCTGGTGAACCCATGTCATGGGAAGATGGTTTTACTTAACCTTTCTAATAATGACAACTTGGCAGCCAAAGTGCCAAGTGCACCCTCAAAAAGAGCAGTAGTCACTATAGAATTCTTGGTCATGGTTGTCATGGATGTCTTTATGTTCACAAGTAAGATGGTATAAAAAAACATAAGCTTATGCTTTGAAATTGCCAGATATTCAGTGGGCTGGGATGTGAAGATACTTGACTCCAGAAATGTCTTCTGGGAAGAGAAAGCCATCTTCAGCTACCCATCACCTTCTGCTTTCTGGTCTTTTTTTTTTTTTTTTTTTTTTTTTTCAATTGTTTACAAGTTGTCACAATAGTATCTCATGAATCTTGGGACCATCCATGAGCTGTCAGTAACTGTCCAGACAGTATATAATAACCATTAGCATATTATTTCATCTATTTTGTAAGTTCATGTAGAAATGAGTAGCCTATTTTAGTTTGGATTCAAATACCTCTAGTTCTTTTTTTTTTTTTTTTTTTTTTTCACTCTCAAAATAATGTGCAAGGACTGGTCAATGCCATCCCTCCTTCTAGAGTTTTAAGTTGATTGGCTAGTGCATAATTAGGTATTAGACATTTCAGTTTTGCTGGAATAGCATTGCAAACAGTTCATGAGGCTGAGAAAGAATTGGTAAATGAATTCCTTTTTCCTGCCATAATCCTAGCTTGCATATGTTGTAAAGTTAGCATTTTCTTCATAGGTTCTCATAAGTCCTCATCAGGAAATGGAGGGAATTTAATTAGATAGATTATCCAATTCCTCATCTCATGTTTCAGGGTCATTTTCAGTAAATGGGGAATACGTATTTAAAGGAATTCCAGGAATGGAGCTGAGGGAGCTGTTACCAGCTTAGTTGTCAGTGGCACTGGTTTTCCTTGACCCATGCTGTTAGCTTTTGGTTGTAATAGTATTTGTTGGCATATTCTGGTCATTGTCGTGAGTCTGTAGACACAAATACAGGCACACTATGGCAGTCATCCTACGGAGCATCCTGCACTTTTAAGTAACAAGCGTGGCCTATTATGCTCCTGACTGTACTCTGAAGTTAGAACATTGAATTATAAAGTAGTGTGGGTAGCCAGTAGCTGCCTGCTGAGGTGTGTGTACTCTCCAAGTCTCCTTTTATGAGCTACTTCTACACAGTGACCTTGTTCATTTGTATGAGTTCTCACATTTATTTACTCATTTTACATCCAGGCCACAGTTTCCCCTCCCCCCTCTCCTCCCAGTCATCCTCCTCACTTGCCCTCTGGCCCACCCCCCAACCCCCTCCAGTTTCTGTTTAGGAAAGGGCAGGTCTCCCATGAGTATCAACAAAACATGGCATATCAAGTTGCAGTAAGACTAAGCACTTGCCATGTATTAAAGCTGAGTAGGCTACCCAGTATGAGGAGTAGGGTCCCAAAAGCTAGTAAAAGTTGGAAATAGCTTCAGTTCCTGCTTTTAGGAGATCCAGAATAGGGCCAAGCCACACAACTGTCACATATGTGCAGAGTGCTTAGGTCTGTCCCATGCAGGTTCCCTGGTTGTCTGTTTAGTTTCTGTGAGCCCCTATTAGCCCAGGTTAGTGATTCTGTGAGTTTTCTTGTGATGTCTTTGACCCCCTCTGATTCCTATAATCATTTCTCTCCTTTTGCAGGATTCCCCAAACTCCACCTAATGTTTGCTTCTGGGTCTGCATCTGTTTCCTTCAGTTGCTCGATGACACCTCTCTGAAAATTTGCCTAGGCAACAATCTGGTCATAGGAGATGACTAGTTCAATCTACATAGCCACCATTACTAGGAGTCTTTGCTGGGGTATCCTTGTAGATTCTTGGAAGGTTTCCTTGTGCCTGGTTTTTATCTGATCTGAAAATGATCCCCCTTTTCAGTAGTCTCTTTTAGTACTCTTCCCCACTGTCGCCGACTAACCTGATGTGCGCTCACTTTTTAATTCAAGTGATGTGTTAACCCATTGTAGTCGGTAGGCTTCCACTGTATAAGTAGTTGCTCACATGCAGTAAAGCAGATGCTGTTCCATGAAACCTTCCCTGGAGTGGTTTTTCTCCATGCCCTTTACTGACCCTTAAGCATTGTGGTCTTTTTAGGTACAGCCAGGTAATGACTTGTGCCTAACATGGGTGACAGACTCACCCACATTATGATCCATGTGTAGAAAGGCACACATACACATGCATGACAAATGAATGTAATTAAATATTTGAGAAGCAATCAAGTCTAAAAAATATCATCCCCCCCCCCCCAATTTTCTTTTGGAAGGGTCTTATTCTAGATCATTTGCCTGGAACTTACTATGTAGAGCAGGTTTACCTCTGCCTCCTCAGTGCTCATACTGAAAGTGTGTATCACTGTGCCCAACCTTAGTGGTTACTATTAAAATGTCACTATCTGGAGAATGAACCTTGGTATGGAAAAAATGCAAGGCTACCTCATCTATTTACTGAACTTGAGGGTAACCTGAATTACTTGAGACAGTGTTCTCCCAAAACAGAAGCAATTGTGTGTGACTGTACACAATGGAATACCAGGGCTCAGGTCGAAGAGGCAAAAGGATGGAAGCAAGTTTAACCTAGTGTTTGCATAGAGTTCCATACTAGGCAGGTCTACATAGGGAAACCTTGTCTCTGTAGCAAACATCAAATGATGTTATAACACATGAAATAGGAATACCTACAAGTGGTTAAGTTGCTTGCTTCTGAGCCTGATGACTTGAGTTCAGTCTCCAGGAGTGGGAACATCCCCAGTGTTCTCTGACTTCCACATGTGTGCAACAGTTATGTCACCATGCAAGGGAAACAGGGTCCTGGGGATGCAGGTCAGGGGTAGAACACCTGGCCAAGCATATGAAAGCTCTGGGTCCCATCCTAGCACCTCAGAAAATCATCTTGCTTGAGACAGATTTCCTCTTTGCTCTTCCTGATCTCCTGTACCTCCCTGTGTAGCCCATGTTAGTCTGGATAACTGGGATTACAGGCATGTGCCACCTTGTGAGCTTGATTCACTGTTTAAAAGTCTCCTGAAGAGTTGGGGTACAGACTTCCTAATCAAACAGAAGTACTAACAGCAGAATTCACTTACATTCCTCTAATCCCAGGAGTTAAACCCAGCAGAACATTAGCTCTGGCAGCTCCTTTCTGTTCTCCCCCACTTCAGAGGTCACTCATCCAGGTTACCTCTTAATCCAATAAAGTGAATCGTCAGTGTGATAGTTTTCCACTTGCCACAACTAGTTTCACCTGAGAGGAAAGAGCCTCAATTGAATCAACGCCTCCATAAGATCTACCTGTAGGCAAGCCTATAGAACATTTTCTTAATTAGTTATTGATTGGGAAGTGCCCAACCCATTGTGGATGGTGCCATCCCTGGGCTGGTTGTCCTGGGTTCTATAAGATACCAGACTGAGCAAGCCATGGGGAGCAAGTCAGTAAGCAGCACCTCCAATGTCCTCTGCAACAGCTCTTGCCTCCAGGTTACTGATGTGCTTGAGTTTCTCTCCTGACTTCCTTCTTGAGCATGGGGAGCAGGGACCCTTGTGTGAAAACACGCTTATTATTGACCTGACCATGCAGTGAGCAC